AAAGTGTTCATTCCGAAAGTTTTTGAAAGTCCAATTCCATGAATAAATTTTCAAATGAACATGAGAAACTGAATCCAGATTTGTATCAACTGAGAACGAACCGAAATAAGGTATTGCATTTGGTTTCCGATAATATTTCGACGTTTCTCGGCCATTTCATCAATGAACTGCATATCGAAAACCACATGTGGCTTCTCATCAAGCCGCATGGTTCGCCACACACGTGCTCCGTAGAGCTGATGCAATCCTGGAACACGCACAACCAGATTTCAATCTTTCCGCACACAACTTTTTCGATTATCAGAATAAGTTCGATTGCTATTTGTAGCAACTCACCGAATCAAAAAAGAGAAATGTTATCGTTTAGACGGAATGAAAATCAGCAATTTAATAGATTATTCAGCAGCACTAATAAGATCTTGAAATGTTTGCCGTTATCTTTCATTTTAACGACTGATTCTACCTACATTCACAAGATGGATATCTGAAATGCCCAGCTTGCTGCATGACAGCTAATGAAGTAATTTGAAAACAACTGAATTTCTGTGTGATTTCACAAGATCAACGGACATCACAGAAGTACGAAAATGAATCTGCAAGAGAAACAATGGAAAAATTACTTTTTTTATTCCTTAGTGGGTTCATCATTATTTGATACATTCGAGGACCATAGCCCATGCCACCACTTTCAAACTGCCGCTGCTAAAATTTGAAGTGTTACCACTATTATTGCAATTATCATTATCATTATAGTTGTTTGAATTATCATTATTGCTATTTCTGATTCATTCCCAGAATCATGGAACTAGAAGTACTAAGAAAGTAATCAACCAATCTCCTCATTCTTCAATGTTCTAAATTCAACATTGAAAACTTGACACTTTTCGGAGTGAACTGCTCAAAACAATTGAGAATAATCCAAAGTATCCTTTGTTCAATATACGTCCTCAACAATGTGCTAATGGATCAAGGAATGAAGGATTAGAGATTTCGAATTACATTTCCTTACGAACAATTGTAGAATAGCGTTCAAATCAACAATTACAATTGAACTGAAATGAATATTCTTGGATGAAAAACACCAGGGAATAGATAAAATCTAACCTGTTCCTTGATGTATTCAATGTAAGCTTCATCAGCGCTTTGCTTCTTGAGCAGATCTTGTTTGGCACGATATTGTGTGATGGCTAAATAGCGCAGGAATGAAACTCGTTCTGAAAGACTCGGTTGTGTTAGTAAACGACGCCAATCGTCGTCTGACATCACTTCTGGAGCTGATGGTGCCATCCATAGATAAACCTGAATTGAATGCACATCAAATGCAC